GCAAGGACTGTCAATTTACCCCCTAGATGAATCTCTAGAAGCTTAATTGGAGTTATTATCTACCACTAAATCATCTTTAAGTCACTCTTCATTCCACATTTGGCAAATGTGGACTGCTCTGATTAAGTCTTTAGGTTGTTATTATAACCAAAGTTTTCTCAGGTAATGGAGAGGAAAAAACAGCTTATTGTCTTTTAAGTAAAAGTTAACTTTTGTATAACATCCTTTAACTTATTAAATGCTTTCCACCTAATTTCATTTAGTCTTCCAAACAAACCTTGAAGGCCAAAATTCTAAGCTATCCTCCTTTCATAAGGATAGGGATAAGGAGGGACCTGAGGCTCAAAAGTACTAATGAATTTCCGGGGATCACAAACAATAATGGCCCAAATCAGAACTTGGGTCTAGATATTACGATTTCAGTGTCTGTGCCTTTTAATATAACTCACTAAGAAGAGGGAAAGCACCCCACTCAAGGTGACGAACATTGAAATTCATTTGTTATATTCAAACTTAACAGCACAATTTTCTAAAGCCTTCTTAACCAGACTCAAAACATTTATAGGAGAGATTACTGCTTGATTGCATTATCACACCCTTTCTGACCATGGGAAATTTCTATTCCTACCACTCCTCCATAGACCATTTCACCATCAGAAGAGTGGATGAAAACTGTATTTTATTTTGTTTACTTATTTTTTAAGATTTATTTATTTATTTATATAAGCACTGGGTACAGTCAGAAGTGTGGGAGGGTGAGAGAATTCACCAGAGCCAGAGCAGGGAGCAGAAGAGGCAGACTGATGAAATACACTGCTGAGGGGAGCAGCGGGTGAGACAGGAGAGGTCTGCGCGCCATGTGGGACCCTTGCCGGGCAGCCGGGGATCGAATCAGTGCTGCAGAGGCTGTGGGCAGCTTTGCAACCCAGCGCTCAAACGCTGCGCCACCAGGGGAGGCCCGAAACCTGTATTTTAAACAGTAGTAAGATGGCATGTCTTCTTCAACCACATTCTCCCAGGATTTTAGTTACTCCCGTATTCTCATAAGGAAATATGAACCTCTGGATCTATCTCCTTATTTTCTTCCCTCAGTGGATCCTTACCAGTTTAAATAACTCACTGCCTGGGTCTCATTGGATGAGTTTCTACCATATTGGCAGACCATGTGCCAGACCTGCAGAGGGGTTTATATGTCCCACTAGATGAGTCTTTTAATTTAACTGCCTGGCTAACTGAGCACAACTATGGCTTTCAATATCCTTAGACGAATGTCTGTCATTAGCCCACACCTGACCAGTGTTGGTGAAAGCGTGTGACCATGGGTCATTACCCATGCAGGAAATGTGGAGGGGTATGTAATTTCATTGCTTTTCCCAAGTGATTGCTAATCGCACTCGACTTATTTTATTATTTCCCATGTCTTTAAAAGTTCTTCTCCCCAAAATGTTAAAAGGGACAGAAAGAATGAAGCGACCAAAGGAGAATGAATTCTGTAAACGATAAAACATTCCCAAGTAGACGAAAGACTGTGTGCTGCATTATTTTGAGTCAAGATTTCCTACCTTGGCACAGGTTTTTTTTTTTTTAGCCCTGCCGCAGTTTTATACTGTTTTAAACATTTCACTTCTCACTATGTATTCTATACTACACATACCATAATAAACACTGACTACGCTATGATCCTAACTTAGACTTGATTTAAAATAGAAGTACTTAAGAATCTGAGCAAGGGGGGAAAAAGCATACTAACACTCACAAGGCACATTCTTTTCTCACGCGTTCCTCGGCCTATTGCCTTGGGCAATAAATTATAAGGTAAAATAACCATTTTATTATTTGCTGTTTTCTTACACTCTGCTGAGGAAAAACTACATTCCCCGCAAACTGACAGAAAATTTAAAAGTGAATTCAGTATGTTGTATGTATATTTGGGGAATGTATTTAACATACAATATTGATGCGATTTATATTTCTCTTTTAATATTTTTCCGGCTGGAAACAACAAATATGTAATGAGCAAGCTTTACAAACAGGATGAGAGAAGCAGAACTACTGTAAGAGGTGGTTCCTGTGATTCCCTCCTAAAAATATAAATAAAATATCATCTAACAACTAACTCAAAACATCTTTTATTTTTTAAAGGAAAAAGCATATTTTTAAGAGCATTAAAATTCATTTTTTGAACCTGTGTTTATCTAATACTTGAAATATTTAGAGGTTTAGAAAATGTTCAATTTTTTTTAGCTTACAGATTTGATCTTAATGGAACCCTCTTTTATTTCCTGACCCATGAATTTTTATTACCCCGCTCTTGGAGACTTGTTTCTATAAAATGTACCATTTTCACTCACAGCTTAAGACAGCTTTGATGTTCTTGGTATGTATGACATACTGTATGTAACGTTAGCTGCTTAAAGCTGGAGATCAGATTGTGCATAATAACATATGTAGTTTGGATTATATAAACACTACAGGAGGAAGGGGAGACAGGGCCCTTCTGTGTACAAATTTCAGATTTCTAGCTGTATGCCTGTTTAGAATGTTAAACACTCCTAAGTAGGCAGTGATGAAGTTACTTCTTAGTGACTATGACTTCTGAAATGATAAAGACAAACATTTTTCAACTAAAGATAATTTAGAGGATAAAAAATAAATTTCATTGTCCTCGAAGCCCAATATACGAGCAATTTCACCCATTATAAATAAGTCTGGCCAGGGAACCATACCAGTCTGTTTCACCAGGATTGTTTCTTTTATACCTTACTATTTCAGATTAGTTAGACTACCATGGAGATTTTTTCTTTTGTTTATGCCATTCTCTTATCGTTAAGGTTACAGGATGGCTTCATGTGTTGTTGGAAGATTGGTAACCTAGCCATTTCAAGAGAAATTAAATAAAACACATTACCATATTTTTCAGCAATGAGAAATTTCAGAATGAAGAAGTAAGTCAATAGCTTTTCTGGTTTAATTAGTTTATATTTTAAATATTCATATCCTGCTTCGTTTCAGGAAGACTTCAAGGCGGCTGATATGTTTACTGGTCAAATATTCACCACAGTAATCAATCCTTTGAAATTATGGGTTAAAAACTCCAGTAAATTTCAGTCATCTTTTATTTATGTAGGGATTATACTGCATTTGTTTCCTGTCCTTTTTCCTAAGAATTTTAACTATGGACGCGCCTCTCGGGGTATCTTTATATTGGGGAGCTCTGTGTGAGGTTGAAGTTTTTATGGGGTAACTTTTTAAAACACACTTGTCTTTAAACGCTGGTTTGCCCCAGCCAGGTTAGGGGTTGCCAGTAAATCCATTTATAGCAACTCCTGTATTCCATGCTCCATACACAGCTTTGGGGTGACCGTGTATAGTTCCCACAGACCACGCAAGGCAGCGTGGCCGCCGCGGTTGATACTTTTGTGACTAAGGCTGGTCTCCAGGGCTTGAGTGTGCGGTGGGCTGGGCACCCCCAACCCAGATAGGCTGCCTGGGATTCCTGGGGGTGGGGGGTGGAACGAGTTGCTGGCGAACTCAGGACTTCCGAATCTGAAGGCCTTCCCCAAGGCTTTCGCTGTTAGTAATAAGCGAACACATTTTTGGAACTCGGGAATTTAACTTATTGCTACCAACGAAAACGATCACATCTTTGTTTCTGCCCCCTCCAAACGACCCTCCTCCAGCCGATGGAAGCACGACGGTGGCCCTCGTTGGAAGCAGCAAAGACAACACAGGGTCAGACCCAAGCAGTGGGAGCATGAAGGAAGCAGAGAAAATTCAAGAACGCCACACAAGCCAACCAAAAGCTTCCACCAAAACTTCAGCTTGGTTAATTGCTCCCATATGTCCTCCTCGGTTGTTTGCAAAAATCAGCATGGAGGGGAGGCAGGGTCACTTCAATGATTTTGAAGAGTTTGGGGGGAAAACTAAAAGACGATCACTCAGCTTGATTCCAGAGGGGCCCGGGCGCAGCCGGTGAGCCCCAGCCCTCTCGGGGAAAAGTCAGGGGCCGAGCAGGGGGGCGAGCGCGCCCCGCGCCCCGCGCCCGTGGCCCCAGCGGGCCGGGCCGCCGCAGCCCGGGCGGGGCGGGGCGCGGGAGGCGCGGCCGGGCGGGCGCGCGAGAGGAAGGTGCCTTCGGGAACACGCGCAAGGGCGGGGACTGGCGCTGCCAATGAGGCCGGGTGCTGGCCGTGCGGGGCGGGGGGACGGGCCGGAGCGCAGCCTTCGCGGTGGCAGCTGCGGCCGTCTCTGGAGCCGAGGAGAGGCAGCCGCGGAGCGCCGAGCTGGCCGCGCCCGAAGTCCGGCCTTGGGGGTGGGGATCCGCGCCGAGGAGCTGGAAACTTTCCCGGCAGGTAACTCCTGTCGCCCGGGCGCCGTCGGTGGCCTCTGCGCGTCCCGGTCAGGGCCAACTGCCTCGGTGCAGAGAGGTGGAGAGGGTCCCGGGGAGGAAGAGCGGGTGATGGGGAGAGTGGAAAGGTATGTGGCAAAGTTTCTGCACCCCCCCTTCTCCTCTTTCTCTGGGCACACCCGGGAGCTTTCCGGGGATAGGCACAGACATGTCGGGCGCCCGGGGCCTTGGTCCCGGCGACTGTAGGGAGTCGGCGCCTTCCCATCACGGTCCCTCCCCGCTGGACCGAGCCGGCTCCGGGAGGAGCTGGGTCTTGGGGGGCGCATGGCGTCACGCTGTAGTTTCGGGACCACCCCGCGCCCGCGCGCCTCCAAGACCCCTTTCCCGCTTCCTCTGTAGCCCCTGCGCTTGGCAAGGGCCTGGGTTGCGCCTGGTATCCGGGGAGGGAGGCGCGGGGAGACGCGCCTGGCGCGGCGGGGTCCGGGGCGCCCCCGAGTATGAGGGGTGCGCAAGTGGCGAAGTTGCCGCATGAACTTAAGCAGGACTGGGTGGTGGGGCGGGGGGTCGTGCAGCCCTCCTATTGCTCCGTTTCTAAGAACGCTGCGATGTGCAGATCCACGTTTTTCCTTGGGGGTTGGGGTGGGGAAGTGCGCTTGGATCAGACATTGACGAGGAGCTGAGAAAGACGAGACCGGTATCAATATTGTTCCCTCCTGTTCTTGGAGGGTGAGAGTGCTCCCTGGGGGGACTGCTATCAGGGCACACACATTCTTCCTTGGAGGACTTTGGGGTGCACAAGCGCGGCGATGTGTGGGGGACGCCCGGGTTTGGGGCGGCCCCTTTCCGGAACCGCTGGCTAGGAAGGAAGCCCTCGGCGTCCTGTGGCGTGTTTGCGGACAGAAACGTCTCCGGACCCGCGTTCTCAAAACTTACTTGACTTATTGCGTAAGCTCGGGGCTGGGGGGGGGGGGGGGGGGGCGAAATGCGGCGGTGGCCAGGTGGGAATCGGGCGCCGCGGCCAGGGGTCCGGAGGATGCCCACTCGGGATGAGGTCTGGACCCTGCGGGTCTCCCTGCGGGCAACTCTTGGCAGCTCCAGACCCTGAGCCGCAGGTGATGGGACTCGTCTAGGTAGCGTCGTTCGCTCCTGGAATCAATTCCGGGGAGGTTAAGAGGACACCTTCTTCTTGAACTTGACCCCAGGAGCCTCGCGGGCTGGGCAGGTTTACAAGGTAAAGAGAAATTGCATCTCGTGGGATGGCCTCCGATCGCCGCTGAGGACAGGAAGTGCCTGGTTCAGAATCTGAGGAAGGGCTGGGGACTGTGAGGTCGCTGTCTGGAAATGCCAGACCACCACATTGCGGGCGCGGTTGGGGATGGGACAGGAAAGGAGAAACCTGGTTAGTTGGTGCAGAAGGTTGGTATTTCTCAGTGCAATGGAGGAGTCTGCATCCTCTCTGCTTTCACTAGATCTGCTACTCACTCTTTTTTTCCTTCCTGGGTCATCTTTATTCCTGCCAGGCTGGCATTCTAGGGACGGGGGAGGGGCAGGAGAGGAAAGCAGTTGTGAAGTTTCTCTGGCCTGCTTGGAGGTATTTCAGATCTGCTACGAGGAAGATTCCTGGATTTTAACAGCTGCTTCTTGATTGCTGGGAATGAAAGAATTTATGAGAGACTGAAATGGCTATTATGTAGTAGTCGAATGTTTTACTCATCTAAGCTGCTTAAAGATCTCACAAGGGATCTTCCCTCGAGTGTGTCAGTTTCTGCGAAGTTTGTGTCAGCCAGAATGCTTGGTGGATGTCAGTCAGAAGACATTGTAAATATATCCTGATGGTATTAAGATGAAAAGTATGCAGGAGTAAAGGAAATATGGTATCTGACATCCTTCAGGACTTCCTCCTAGGGTTGCTACTATTACCTGCCAAGTGAACTAGGTCCAGGCTTCCGGACTGTTGTGATTTGACAATAAAGGATGGGAAATAGTGTCATCGATTTTTAGTGGAGGCAGGAAAGTCCAGAAATAAATTGAAGGTCAGGTTTCATGATCCTGTCTTACAGCTGTGATGCCACAAACTAAACTTTGGCTGGGACTTGGGAGCACTGGTTTTCCTGCTTTCTTGGTTTAACCACCAGAATGTTCAAATCATCATAATTTATGTCCATTACGGAACTAAAACGCAATTGATTCATAGTCAGCCTTTTTTCTGCATTCCATAACAGCCTGTAGAAAAAAGAACATTTTATCTCCCTAGCCACACAGTTTACTTGAAACCATAGTGGGCCTTTGATACTGGGTGATTGGGGGCACAATTTTAAAGGCAGTGGAATTATCTTGATTAAATTGTCCACTTTTAGGCAACAATCCCCTCTGAGTTGCTGATTAATTCTTTATCTCCCAGGGAGCATTAAAACCAGTATCCCTGGGCTGGTAGAACTGTAATCCACATTATAATGATGCCAGCCAGCATAACTGGAGGTTAATGATATGTCCATGTTTTCCATTAGACATTTCTACCAATTATAAAGCTTTTGTCTGTGTTGGGTTGAAAGAAAGAGCACAAGTTTCATAGCCAGAGAAATGGCTTTGTTTCTATTTTTTTTTGTTGTTTTTAAATAATTATTTATGCATACAAGAACTGGGGTACAGGCCTGAGGTGCTGGGGGTGAGGGGATTCACCAGAGACAGAGTGGGGAACAGAACAGGCAGACTGACTGAAATACACTGCTGAGGGGAGCAGTAGACGAGATAGGAGAGGTCTGCTGTGCCATGTGGGTCACTCCCTGGTCAGGGATCAAACTCCTGCAGTGGCTGCAGATAGCTTCATAGTGCTGAGACTTAACCTCTTGCTCCACCAGGCAGTCCTTGTTTCTATCTTTGTGGTGAAAAGTTTAGCGTAACTTGGAAGTTACAGGAGTAAAGTTTATAAAAGCAAAATAAAACTCTGTGTGTGTGTGTGTGTGTGTGTGTGTGTTTGGGCTGGGGAGGGATTTATTGTAGTCTCTAGGATAGCTTTCTTTTGAATAATCTTTTAAATATGTATTTCAGTGGTGATGACAAAACTAGAGCTTTCCCCCACACCTTCATCACTTTTCAAAAGTGTTTTCTGTACATGGTTCCTTTTTTTTTTTTTTTTTAAAGATTTATTTATTTATACAAGCAGTGGGTACAGTCAGAAGCGCGGGAGGGTGAGAGAATTCACCGGAGCCAGAGCAGGGAACAGAACAGGCAGAAGGACCCAAGTACACTGCTGAGGGGAGCAGCGGGCGGCAGGAGAGGTCTGCGCGCCATGTGGGACCCTCGCCCTGCAGCCGGGGATCGAACTGGCGCTGCAGAGGCTGCGGGCAGCTTTGCAGCCCAGCGCTCAACCGCTGCGCCATCAGGGGAGACCTGTACATGGCTCTTAATTCTTTCTAGGCCTTGATTTTCATGTTATCATCCTTTAAGTGGAATACCTCTCAACCTTAGAGTTCTGCAACTCCTTAAAAGCTTGAGAAAAGTTGGCATTCTGAAAGCAGTACTGTAATATTTAGAACAGTACTTTAGGGTTTATAAAAGGCATTATGTATATATTTTATACCTGAATCCACAGTCAAGTAAACCTTGACCTGTAAATTGGTTTGCTCAATGTTGTCTATAAATTGTAGAGTTGAACTTAAACTTAGGTCTTCTGATTAGCCCGCTTCCCTCCCTCACACCTCTCTTTAATTTGGAGTCACCTATGAATTGGTTAAGACCTAACAGACTACTAGCATTAATTCTGGCATTTTCTCACAGTATTTCATTTATGGGTTATTCTGGTTACAGAACCCCAGGGTTAACATCTATGCTTTGATGTCAAAGATTAAAACAGTTCATTCATAGTGGTAATAAAACTGACTCCTCCAAGAGAGTTTCAGAAATTCACATACCTCAAACTAATCATTTGTTTATTTTCAACTTTTTTTTTTTTTTTTTTTTTTATTAAATAGGCTTCAGTGTCTAATTTATAGTCGGGACTAGTAACCCAGAACAACATTCTTTTTTTTTTAGGTATATGAAAACTACGATTAGGCCAGAGGTGCGGGGTATGAGAGGGTCTACCAGAGACAGAGTGGGGAACAGAACAGGTGGATCTACTGAAAGACATTGCTGAGGGGAGCAAGGGGTGTGACAGGAGAGGTCTGCTGCTCCATGTGGGTTAGCTTCCCTGGCTAGGGATGGAGCTCATGCTGCAATGGCTGTGAATCGCTTGATAGTGCTGAGACTTTAACCCCTGGGGCACCAGGGAGGCCCCAGAACAGCATTCTTAAGGAAATCGCTTCTTAAAATAGCAAATCTTTAAAGACAAAAATGAACATATCATCTGCCTTTTGTTTGTTATCTCTCAGGCAAGTACAAAGCCTGGATAAATATCCCTTTTTGGTGTCATCATTCTGACTCTCTAATGATGTCTAGACCATGTCTGATATTGCAGTACTTTCTGGGCTAAATAAATTCTTCCCTTATGTTATTGGTTTAATGATAAAGAAGTTGTGGGTGGCAGGTGACCCATTTTCACAATGTACCTTGTCCTTCTTGCCTGTGTAAGAGCACTGAATGCAGCTTGATGCTCATCTGGAAGCTAGTATAGATTTTCTTTAAAAGGTTCTAAAAAAAATTATGTGCTAAGATGTAGAATCTCTTTGAGCAGTTTGTCCACCTTCAGCTTTGTAAACTTTTTCTTAGAAGAATGTCTTTTCAAAATACTAAGCCATGGGGCTTACAATATTAAGCACTGGGGTTTACTCCTCAGAGAGAGGATATATCAGTCAGTATTAAAGTAGGCAAAGGCTGCCATTTTTGAGTGTGAAAGGGGAGAGAGCATTTTGAAGCAGTATTTGTTAATGAAGTTGGGTGTCTGTTATCAGTGTACAAGAAGGGGACAAGAGCAGCAAAGCAGAAAATGGTTTCTGGTTTTTTATTATCAGAAGAGTGGATTTTGAATGATCAGGAAGACTTTTGAAAGAAGACTATCAGGAAATATCTTGCCGACAGTGAAAGGGGCTGTGGTTTGGTTTGTTACTGATGAGGGTTGCCTTTCTAAGAATAGATGTTGTGTTTTGGGTCTCCTGCAGGTATGTGTGATCAAGGAGATCAAAGAAAAACTCCACAGGCAGGAATGTCAAGGACAAGAAAAGTGTAATTGTCCCAATTTTAGTTGAGATTTTGCCATCATGAGGGAATTTATTAGTAAAAATCTATCTGTAGTTGTGTGGACCTAGTTGTATAAACCACAGATACGAACCTAGTATGTTCAACCTTAAAGCCCAGAGCTCAGTGACTCACAGCCTTCCTGCCCCACCCCAGCACACCTAGGCTTACTTGCTTGAAATGAAGTATGGCTTATTACCTCTGTCAGTTGGGGGAAGGGAGTTGGACATTCTCTAAGAAACAGCTATGATTTCTTCATGTACATATACTCATATAAAGATGGAATCCTATATTATGTGTGCTCTTGAAGAAATTTGAAAAATGTTTCACAAGCAAGGGTGCATATAATGTATTTGCATATTAAGAGAACAGTATATACTTACATAATCTGTGTTTTTTCCCTATCATATCAGTATGTTCTTCTTTGGTATTGTTACAATGACTGTTTTTAAATCCTTTACTCATTTGATCATTAAATTGTAGGCCCCAATGTCCAGCACATAGATATATCTGGATGTTGGTAGCTTCAAAATCTCAAAAAATTGACTGCTCTTTGTTTCAAGTTGGGAAAATCCTGGGGAGAAGTGGATGGACCCAAAGAAGAGTTATTGTTTGCAGTCCCCATTAGACCCACCGGATGGGACTGTGGGGAGACAAAGTGTCCCACGAAGTAGGGAGCTATTGTTAATGGTAGCAGGGAAAGCTGGCTGCTTAATACAGGTTATTTCTACTGTGGCATTGGTCATAACAACAGCACTCTGAATGGTAAACTG